TGCTCAGGTTTTCCTCTTCTTTATCATATAGATAAGGGAACCCATCATTACTCTCTCCTGTGCTTTGCTTTTTCTTTTGTAATGATTGAACCCAGGACCTCGGGCATTCTAGGCAAGCCCTCTACCTCTGAGCTGCATTCTCAGCCCTTTCTGATTTCTTTGCTTTTATTTTACTTTATATTATTTTATTTTTTGACACAGGGTCTCACCATGTAGCTTAGGCTGGCCTTGAACTCGCTATGTATTCCAGGTAGGCCTTGAGTTCATGGCAGTCCTCCTGCCTCAGCCTCCCTGTAAGCAGGGATTACAGGTGTGCGCCACCACACCTGGCACTGATTTCTTAAAAAAATTTTACCCTTCGATTGTGTGTTTTTGCAGTGCTGAGGATGGAGTGTAGGGGTTTTTCGTAATGCTACATCCACAGCAGTTTTGGTGGTTGTTTTGGAGACAGGGTCTCTCTAAGTTCCTCTATTGCCTGGGCTAGTTTTGAACTTGCCAAGCTTCCTGGCAAGACTCTGAGAGTGCTGGGATTACATGCATGCACCATCATGCCTCATTCATATTTCTTGTTTTTTACATCGGTAAGTTTTAGTTGGATATTTGGTACTCTGATTTTGCTTTGTTTTTGTGGTACTGGGAATTGAACTCAGGGGCTTGCCTATACTAGACAGGCACTCTACAACTAAGCTGCCTCCTCACCCCTTTTTATTTTTTTATTTTGAGAATCTTGCTAAGTTGCCCAGACTGCCTTTAGCTTGAGATCTTCCTGCTTCTGTTTCTTAACTATCTGGGATTACAAGCATGCATCAACACACCCAGCAATTTTTGACATCTTAATTATTTTATTCTTTGTGTCTGAATTTTTTTTTTTGTACCAGGGATTGAACTTGGGTCCTTGGTGCTTGCCAGTTAGGTAGGGGAACCACTGAGCTAAATCCCCGGCCTTGTATCTGAGTTTTTAAGAAAACTTTTTGTATAAAATTAATTGTAAGCTGGACTTGATGGTGCGTGCCTGTAATCCCAGCACTGTGGGTGTCTGAGGCAGGAGAATCAGAGGTTGGAGCACAGCTTAGGCAATTGAGCAGTGTCGTGACATCTGTCCAAAAAAAAAAAAAAGAAGAGAAAAGCAAAGCTGAAAATGTAGTTTAGTACAAAGGCCCTGGGTTCACTCTCTTATACTGCCAGAAAACAAAAGAAAAGATAGCCTACTATATTCTATTTTCTGCATCTCTTTTTTCATTTAAGAGAAACAATATAACTTTTAAAGAGCTATGATTTCAGGAATTTTATATTTTTTCTCAGCTTTGTGCTTTACAGTTGTATGGATGTACCTCTGTCTGTGTAACTCGTACAGTGCTGAGATGAATAATACTCTGTGGGATGTTTTCCGACACCAACAGCCAGTCCTCTGACAACTGGAAACCACCTGCTTGCTCACCAGTTTGGTTCCATTCAGTTGGGTGGTGACCGGCTGGAGTCCATGTAGCCTGGCATACGGCTCGGTCCCACCAGACTGCTCCCAGCTTCAGACACCAGCCCAAAACCTGCACCAGGCGTACTTTCCATCAGCATGCCATAGATTGGGGGCTCCTTAGGTCTCCTTCAAAGGTGAATTTTAGGATGGCTCATAGAACTCAGGAGAAGTGTACCAATGGCAGTTTATTATAAAGGACACAGTTGACAAGCAGCTAAATTGAAGGCATGTGGAGGGCAAGCTATGTGGGCTGGGACACCTCCTCTCTCCTCCCCAGACCTTGTGCTCACCACCTCTGGGAGCCAACCAAATCCATCCTTGAAGAGTCTCTGCAGGACTTCTATTTTTTATTTTTTACACAGAGTTTTACTGTGTAGTTCAAGCTGGCCTTGAACTTACTGTGTAGCCCAGGCTGGCCCTGAACAGCCATCCTCCTGCCTCAGCCTCCCAAGCACTGAGATTACAGACGTGAGCCACCACTCCGTGGGGAGAATTTCTGTAGGGGCTTTATCTCCACTCTACCCCAGCCCCATGTTAGGGCTGGGTTGGAAATCCGGCCTTGGACTCGCTTGGCCTTTACAGTATTGCTCAGCCCCGTCCTGAGGCTGTAAGTGTTCCACCCTCAGTCACCTCATCAGCATCAGCTCAGGGGGACTGAAGCAGATTCATGAACAGGAGTGAAGACACTGCTGTCATTCAGGTACATACTCCCAGGGCTTTAAGAGCTTCGGGCTGGGAACTGGAGACAAAGGCCAGTGTTTTTCCCATTGTGTCACAGTCTTGTTAAAAACTCATTTCACTTATGTGTAAGTATACATAAATTTCTAAAAGTGAAGTAACTGCATTGAAGGCTTTGTGCATTTATAAATTTGATTGTTTTTAACCACTTTTTCTACTCCAGAGATTATACTAATTTGTGTCACAAATGTTAAAAAAATGTGTGTAGCAACTATGTATTTACTTATACTACTATACTGCATATTTATATCAAGTGTTACATTTATTTTTATTTTTATTGATTTGTTTTCTTTGCAACAAGTCTTGCTATGTAGCCCAGGCTGGCCTTGAACTCCATATATAGCCCAGGCTAGCCTCAAACTTGAAATCCTCCTGTCTCTGCCTCCTGAGGGCTAGGATTATAGGTATGTGCATCATGCCCACTTATATAGTGTTTGAAACAACAGATGCCTTACAGAACTCTTGAAAACATATATTTGTAAGAAAAAATAGTAGAGCATAATACTTGTATCTGTCCTAAAGAAGATTTTATAGAAATTTTATATAAGTCATAATACACTTTAATAATTTAGCTAATAAATTTTGGGCCTAAGATTTGATTTCAAGTTTGATTTTAAACCCAATGTTCTTTTCATATCTTAAAGAGTAGTAACTAATACCTTGTAATTCACTTCAGTATTTTGGTCTTCCTTCCTAATAAAGGACAATTAGAATGATCATGATTTCAGACAGTATCCTGTTTTTTTGTTTTTTTTGCAGTACTGGGGGTCGAACTGAGGACCTTGTGCTTGTGAGGCAGGCATAGTGCAACTGAGCTAAATACTTGGCCCCAGCATCCTGGTTTTTTTTGAGATTCCAAAAATCAAATTAAAGAAGATCTAAATATAATTTGCAAGAATTAAGAGCCCCAGAGGGAGGAAAAATGAGTTGAAGTTGTGTGTTGTATGTGTGTGTATGTCTGTGTAGAAGGAAGAACATGCACACTTGGCCTTTCTGAGAAGAGACGTTAAATATCTAAAATAGATGTCACTTTCCTATATATTTGCCTATTTGAATATGGAAATGGGGAAAAATGGCAAAACTGCAGAATTATCAGTGAGATAAGACAAGTAGTAGTGAGTAATACTAATTGGGTGAGGAAACTTCTTTTTATGTCCAAATAACTCAGTTGCTGTGTGAATGATCTTGTTCTCTATATAAGAAACAGCCTGTGTTTATTTTAAAATATATCCTAGATTGTTGTTTAATTGTATGTAATTGAGAATTAACCATAGCCTCTAGGTTGACTTTTAGAGCAGACTTTTATTTTAGAGTGGAGTTTTTATAATAATGTTATTTATGTTAATATTACATAATGATGGGGTTTATTTTTGGAAGTTGCTATGTGTATTTACTATATCTTAATCTGTTTTAATTCCATTACTCATTTCTTCCTTTCTTCTTCACGCCTGATTAACCCTGGCCTGGTCTTCAGATGTCCATCTCATGGTTTCCTCTTCTCTTTTCTTTCTTTATTTATTTTGTATTTTTGATGTTCTCAGGTAAGAGAAAACATATTTAGCTTTCTGGTCTAGCTAATTTCACTTAACATGATAGTTTCTGCACATGACATGATTTCATTTTTCTTTATGCCTGAGTAATATTTATTCCATGATATCTAATCTGTCTCTCTGCCTATGTATTTGGCTCACATTTTCTTTACCCATCTGTTGATGGCTTCTAGGCTGTTTCCATGGTTAAGATACTGTGATTATGGTGTTACAAACACTGATGTGCATGTGTCGTAGTATGCAGTCCTTCATTCCTTTGAGAGAATATGCCTGGGACTGGTATAGCTGGATCAGTTGGTATTTCTATGTTTAGTGTTTTGAGAGATCTTCGTACGGGTTTCCATAGGGATTGTTCTAGTTTGTAGTCTCCCCAATAATGTAGGCGCATCTGTTGCCCTGTCCCCACCCTTACCAGCATCATTGTTTCTTGTATTCTTTTTGGTACTGAGAATCAAACTCAGGGCCTTGTGCTTGCCAGGCCCTGCTCACATGCATCCCCAGCCCTGTTGTATTCTTGATGCTACTCTGCTGGGGTGAGCTGGAGTCCCAGTGTAGTGTTAACTTGAATTTCTCTGATGTCTAGAGATATTGAACATTTTAAAATACACTTTTGGTCATTTGAGCTCTTTGGGGAAATGATTCAGTTTACTTGCCCACTTTTTTATTGGCGTCTTTGTTTTATTGGTATTTTAAAGTTCTTTATATATTCTAGCTATTAATCCTCTGTCAGAAGCATAAACAGTCGTCCCCATTTAGTAGATTGTCCCTTCTAGTCTGATGTTTCTTTTGCTGTTCAGAGGCCTTTTAATTTGATGTCCTGTTTGTTGGTTTCCATATTATTTCCTGTGCTTTTGGAGTCCTATTCAAGAATTCTTTTCTTGCCGGGCGTGGTGGCACATGCCTGTAATCCCAGCACTTGGGAGGCTGAGGCAGGAGGATCACTGTGAGTTCAAGACCAACCTGGGCTACACAGTGAGTCCCCAGGGCAGTCTGAACTACATAGTGAGACCCTGTCTCAAAGACAAAAAAAAAAAAAAAGAATTTCTTGTGTCTGTGTCTTCAAATGTTTCCCTTATGCTATAGCAGAATTTTTGTAGGAAAATCTTGGTTAGTACATTTCCCAAATAAGCAAGTTGTATGACATGGACTACATTTTGCGGACTTTACTTAAAATAAAAATAATCATTTAAAATTTGGATCCTTTTAATTTCAGTTTTTTCTCTCATTCCATTTTGCAGACATTTCAACCTGCGAATGAAGAGGGACACTTCCTTGTTTAGTGACGAATTTAAAGTAGAAACATCAGATAAAGTACTTGATTATGATACCTCTCACATTTACACTGGACATATTTATGGTAAGTTGAGCCTTAACAGAAACCTTTTAAGTTTTTTCTACCCAGGGAAATGTGTATTTAGATGTGTGAGCAAATATTTCAGGAAAGGTGGTATAAATCCTGAGCAGAGGGAAGACAGACTCAGTCTCCTTAGAGGCAGAGAGAAAACCTGGTTTGCTGACTGGAGGGTTAGGGGTCCTAGAAGACACTCAGCTCGCCTTTCAAAATCAAGCTGGCCAGTTTGTCACCAGGGTCCTTAGCCTGAAGATTGCACTCAGAGTGACCCCATCTGTTCCTTGGATCTGTGGCTGAGATCTGGATGATTCCTGGGGCTTGAGATTAGGTAGGGTTCATGTGACTGCACCACAGAGAGGAACAGCTCGGAATCTGACACTTGACCCATACTGATCTGACCACAGAGAAGACTATGTGGGGACTGCACCTGTCTCTCAGGACCATCCTAGCTGGAGGTGTACACCCTTCCCCACTTTACTTGGTTCTTTTTTTGGGGGGGTGGTATTGGGTTCTGGTTCTTTGAGACAGGGTCTCACTATGTAGTGCAGGCTGGCCTTGAACTCAGTATGTAGCCCAGGCTGGCCTTGAACTTTCAGTGATCCTCCTGCTTCAGCCTCCTGAGTGCTGGGATTACAGCCATGTGCCACCACCCCCTGCCACCCTTCCTCTTAATCTTCCAGACTGAGCCATCTCCCTTTGTCCTCTGATCCCAAACACCTGCAGAAATAAGCCCTGCATTAGAGTCTTCTGTCTTGCTATTCTTTGAACCTAATACTCCCATGCCTTTGACATATAGTAAATTTTGTGTGTTCTTTTTCCTGTTTAAAAAAAAATTCAGAGGAGAGTGAACGAATCAGGAAGAGTAAATGGTCTTTGAAAAATGAAGTAATCTTTGGATCCATCTTTTTTTTTTTTTTTGGTACCAGGGATCAAACTCGGGTCCTTGCGCTTGACAGGCAGGTGGCCGAACCACTGAACTAAATCGCGAGCCCTCTTTGGATCCCTCTTTACATGTGTGTCTAACCATGAGTTTTGACACTCTGACTACTTTCAAGATGTTAGTTTTCAAAAAATTTTAATGATTCTATAATTCTCTGATCTTTGAAGGAAGAAAATTAATAGTAACTTTTCTATATTCTTTAAGAAAACAAGGAAAATCTCAAAGGATACTCCAAAGATCATCTGATCTAAAAATAAAGTGACAAAGTCATTCATAGGAAAATCTTTCCAGGCTCTTAGTGCAACTTGCTGGGCCAATAGCATGGTAGTCTGTGTCCATTCTTAGTAGGAGGTGAAAAAAAGTATAAGACTATTATAAATGAGCTTTCAGGTCATAATTGACTCAAAGCCAGCCAATTAATGTTAATGTATAACTTAGAAATTATGGAAAACTTGGGGGCTGGGAACACAGCTTAGTGTGGTGATGGCAAACCTCTTAGAGCTTTCAGTGGTAACAAACAGCTGTTTGTGTATGCCATAGGCTTGCTGCCACTGGCTTAGTGTTTTGTTTGTTTGTTTGTTTTGTACTGGGGATCGAATTTGGGACCTTGCACTTGGTAGGTAGGTGGCGGAACCACTGAGCTAGATTCCCTGGCCCACCACTTGCTTAGTGCTAGAGCATACATTGAGTGTGCTGAGGCTCTGGGTTCAGTCTCCAGTGCTCCAAAACACATGGGAGACCAAGAGCATGCTGGAGATGTGACAGTTTTTTTTTGTTTGTTTGTTTTTTTGGGTGTGTTTCACTTTTTAATGAGGATTTTAAAGTAAATTTAACTTTGTGTTTTTTTGCTACCATGCCCAACTTCACTGTATTTAACTTTTAAAGCCCCATTGGGGTGCAGAGGCAGATGTATGTATTCCCAGCTACTTGGGAGCCTGAGGCAGGAGGATTGCTTGAGTCTAGGGATTTAGGCCAGCCCTAGCCACATAGCAAGACCCTGACTCTAAACAAAAATGAAAACAAAGAAGGCAGGGAGTGAGGCTGTAGCTCAGCAGTAAAGCACTTGCCTGACATGCATGAGGCCCTGGGTTCAGTGCCCAGCAGTGAAGGAAGACAACCCTTTGCTTACCTTCCGCCCTCTGTTGACATTTGGTTTTGGTGTTCAGACTTTTGTGATTATTTTCTTTAATAATTTAATTTCTTTAATAATTTAATTATTTTCTTTATAATTGATGGGATAGTATTCCAAATCTTTTTCAAGTATCTTAAAAAGGGCTGTTGATATACTTTTGTTTAAATTGCTTCTGAAATATTTAGTAGTTTTATATTTAAAATTTATTTATAAAACCTGAAGGTAGCAAGGAAGCCAAAAGATTTGTGTACAATATATCAAATGAGCTTTTTTTTCCTTATGGCAATTAAGGCAGAATTTATGTGGCTTTTTGTTTTCTTTGAGACAGGTACTTGCTATGTAGGTCAGGCTGGCCTTGAATTTACTAAGTAGCTCAGGCTGGCTTCGAACTCTTGGCCGTCCTCCTGCCTCTGACTCTGAGTGCTAGGCTTATAGGTGTGTGCCACCATGCCTGGCCTGAAGCAGAATTTCTAAAGATACTTTTGAGTACCTTTATTCTGAAAGTATATGTTTTATTAGTGGGTAAGCTTGCTTCTGAATTTGTTAGGTTAACAATTACTTATTGAATAACTAATGCATGCATGACAGGAGGGTTTTAGTTTTTGGGGAGGGCAGGAAGTATTCTAGGTGTTAGGAATATGGTTACCACAAAGCAGATGCTCTGTGTTTCATTTTTGGTATTAATTATATATGTTTTGTTTTGTTTTTTGGTACTGGGGATTGGACTCAGGACCCTGTGCTTGTGAAGCAGGTGCAGGGCCACTGAGCTAAATCCCTGGCCCTTAATTATATATGTTTTAACTAAATTCTAGTTGCTCTTTCTATCTCAGATTCACCTTGATATATTTTATATGAAAATTAATTTCTCTGGTAAATTTGTATTCAGGCTATTTGAAAAAGAATATAAAAATGGCTTTTTAAATTGAAGTGACTTTAACAGGCGTGTACAAGTTAAGTTTTGAAGACTTTGTTGCTTTCGTTCATAGGTGAAGAAGGAAGCTTTAGCCATGGGTCAGTAATTGATGGACGATTTGAAGGATTCATCCGGACTCGTGGTGGCACATTTTACATTGAGCCAGCAGAGAGATACATTAAAGACCGGGTTCTGCCATTTCACTCTGTCATTTATCATGAAGATGATATTAGTAAGTGCTTACATTTTATCAAGTAGCTTTTTGCAAAAAGGCATCTGAGTAGTTGAAACTTCATGGAGACAAAGCCTGACCTGAGCTGTGTTCTTACCTACGCTGATAAGCAGGGTAGAAAATAATTTCACAGGCTGAGTCTCCGTGAAGTGAACGGTGGGCCCCATTCTGCCTCAGGGAGGCAGTTGTCTGGGCAGCCCTGTCGGTCCTGCCTTGCTGATGTGGTGCTGTGAATTCTGTTGACTGAGTCAGCCAGAGCTGATTGAACCAGGAGTCCTGTATTCCATATCTGCCAGGCTATTCATGCTACCACCTTTATAGGTATGGCCTGCAAAGGAAAAATCCAGTTTACATCCTATTTGAGTTTTAGCTATTTTCATAATTTCTTTGAGTGTTTCTTTTTGCAGTGCTGAAATAATGACCTCAGCTTGGTAAGACTTCGGGTTTATCGTGTATTTTGTCCTCTACCTATATGGTCTTCATATAATAATAATTTGTTGGAAGAATTTTTTATCTGTATTTTAAGAATAGAAAAAAATACTTAGACTTCGCCTTTTAATTCTGCCTGTGTCTATGTGTCCATAGTTATGTAACCATGAGAATGCTTTAGTGAAATACTTTCCTGTGATTTATCTCTTGAATACTCTGTCCTTCTTTACTGTAATTAGGCTAGTCTCAGTTTTTACCTGTTTTCTTAACTTGGCAGCTTCCTCCGGACTTCATTTTCTTTTTTGCATGCAGGAATGTATCAATAATTTCTTTCTCACCTCTAGTAATATAATGGCAAATTTTAGCCAGGTGAGGTTTTGCCTCATCAGCTCTGCCAGTGTCTGCATTTCAAACTGTCCACCTGCTTGTTATTGTTATTGCCAAATTACTTTTGAACACAGCGTAATTGTACTAGGTTGGGGGTGTGTTTATGACTTCAGCTAAAGGCTGACTCAAATTCATCACTGTTTCTTGCTTACTTTTTCACTCATCCCCATTTGACTCCTTTTCCACTTCCTGGTATTTCAGACACTCTTTAGTGTCTCAGCTAAAAAACTCCTTCTCGGTAGGAATGTGGATTCCTTTGCCTCCCTTTCTTCTGACAGGGTTTTTATCCAGCTGGTTTCTACCTTGCTGTGTAATTTTGTAGTGCTTTAATTGTTTGCAGGTTTATCTCTACTATCAGGGTATGTTAGTTTTCCGGATACCATTTTGTTTGTTTGTTTGTCTTTGCTCCTGAAATATCTGGGTAGCAAATTCTTCATAAATATTTAATGAAATCTTGAAATATTTTCCCTTAGAATGTTTTCTAGATTCAGACAAGGCCTTTTGATGGGAAGATAGAAGGGGAAGAAGGCAAAAGGAGGGGAGGAAAAGTGACGTGGCAGATGATCTGTTCCTTCCCATCATCTTTAATCACACGCTTTCCTTGCTCAGTGCTTATTCTGCCTCTTATGATTTCTGTTACTGTATCTTCTTACTTTCCTCTTCCTGTTACTTTCTTGTATATAGCTTGAGTATATTCTACTTTATCTTCCTTTCTTATAATTTAATTACATTTCCCCCTCATATCCTACAGCAGTTTAAAATCTGAGTTAACTTGTAGGATAAATGACATTGGATGCAACTTAATTTTCTGTTACATTCTTTTTTATTATTAAATATCATTAGTGGAATTAAAGCTTCAAAGTAGTAATGTTTACAGTGATTTTTGTTTGTAATTTTTGTAAATAGAAATGTGTTATGAGGATAGAGGTACAGGAAGGAATTGCTTTGAACAGAGCTATTAAAGTTTACAAATTTAGGCAGTTACTTTTTTTTTTTATTTGAGAGGAGGTCTTGCTATGTTGCGAACATAATGATCCCCCTGCGTCAGCCTCCTGAGGAGCGGAGACCAAAGGCACATTCTGCTGGGCCCAGCGTTAGACAATTACTTTTCAAAAATTATCTGAAAGTCCATCTAATTAACTGCTGTATGAGAAGACATCATGTATTCATCTTTTAATTTAATTTAATTTAATTTGCTGTCTTCCAGATTTGAGACTAGGATTTACAAACTTTTTTGCAAAGGGACAGTTAATAAATATGTTTGGCTTTGGGGCCAGAGAAACATAAAATGAGCATGGCTATTTTCCAATAAAACTTTATGGAACTTAATTTGATTTTCATATGACAAAATATTCTTTCAACTGTTTAAAAATGTATGCCAGGTGTGGTGGTGTGCACTTTAATTCCAAGTCTGGGGATGCAAGGCAGGAGCATCACTGTGAGTTTGAGGGCAACCTGGGTTCTGTCATGTGAATTCAAGGCCAGCCTAAACTGCATACTGAGACCTCGTCTCAAAACAAAACAAAACAGAAACCATCTTTAACTTGCATGCCAGACAAAAACAGCTGACGGGACATTTTGTCCTTCAAGCTTAGTTTACCTACCCTCATTCTAGGGGAAGGGCAGATAAATTCACTTCTTATTGGCTCTTTAAACTGTTGCATGTCCACGATCATACTAATAAGAATAGGTGTGGCTTGATAGGTACTTTCTATAGTGTGTATACTATATAAAGTACGTATTAAAGTTCTTTACTTGCATCATTTACTTTCATCCTCACAATAGCTTTCTGAAGTACAGTATGAACTGTAGGTGCATATATCATCTGTACTTTATGTGTGAGGAAAGAAGTCTCAGAAAACTCAACTTAATCACATGCTCTTTTGCTTCACTCATGGAAAAATACCTGTACATTCTCATTGCCTTTTACTTCTGGGGCTTTACTGAAATCTCTGCCTCCCTAAAATCAGACATTTGCATCTACTGCAGTTTGAGCCCAAATTCTTTAATTTGGTAAAATAAAATTGGACAGGTAATTAAAAGAATGTGGGTACCCATTAATGTATATTATTTTCTTATGACTTACTTGATTGCCAGGAATGTTTTCACACCAGAAGTACTGTGTGATGACTTATGTACTGTGTGTGCCTAAGTGGACCTGGTGCTCCTGTGATGCTTTCACCAGAAGTGAATGGTAGGGGAAGCACTGGGCCTGAGGTAGGTTCCAGTGACTCTGTAGCCACCATCCTCTTCATACTGTGTGTAGCTGTAGGCCTAAGACACCAGGGAAAGGGGTAGTGCTGTTCTGGAGAAACTTAGGGGATGCTTCTGTGGCTGTGCCAGAACACAGACAGTTTTCAGCAAAAATATTGAATATCTTCTGCAGGTGCTTTGCATACTCAGTTAGATGTGAGGCTGATAACTACATACAGTTACCAGCGTCACATTCACACTTGTTCAGTTCTGGACTGAAGTAGTAAAAAGCATTCTCTCCTAGGACAGAGAAGTGTGAACAGTTATGACAAGGTAAGAACACCGTTTAATCCTTGGCCCCTCAGCGCAGTTTACTTGATGAAAGTGTGAGGATAACACTGTCCCATACACTGGAGCAGGACTTTTGTCATCAGGAGGCTGTTAAGCATGTCTTGCTTGCAGTCAGTAGCTGCATAGTGAACCTGTGCCCTTTTGTGTATTACCTGTCCAACAGGCAAAGGTCTAAGTCATTTTTTCATGCTGTATTTTTATAAAAATACTTAATCTTGGGATGGGGATTTAGCTCAGTGGTTCTGCCGCCTGCTTCGTAAGTACAAAGTCTCAAGTTTGATCCCTGGTACCAAAAAAGAAAAAAATAAATACTATTGTCTGAATTTAAAATATTTTAAGTATGTAAAGCTGCAGAAAATATACCAGGGTTTATTCCTTTTATTTCACAGTTATTGTTTATTTTCCTTTTTGTGGTGTAGGAAAGCCTGGAGAGCTTTCTGGCCATGGCTTGAGGAACCCTTCCTTTCAGCCATAGCCCCTTTCTCTAGTGCCTCAATGGGAAGCCCTACAATTTATCATACTTAAAAATTAAGGTTGTTAAACTTCATCTTACCATTTCAGGATAGAAGTTTTATTCATGTAGAAGTCTCTTTATTGTGGAAACTTTGGGGTATTGCTTCTGAAACCTTTGAGAAAAATCAGATAATTCCCTATTATTGTGGTATTGAAATTGTTGACATAAGTGAATTTCATCACGGTTACTAAGGCTGAGGCTCCTAACTCTGTGTCACTGTTAGTGCGAAGGAGAGAAAAGGGGAGGAGGAATTGAGTTATGGTAATAGCTCGCATTTCCATATGTGATATCACCACATTGTTAATGTCATTCATGTGAAATTCTGAACTTCCTTTAAAAAGTGTGGCTCTGCTTAGGTCCAGTGTGGATGGAGATCTGCCTGCCTGTTGGATGTGACAGGTTGGCATAGCCACTTGGGAAGGTTGAGTGCTCTGATTGTCTGATAATTACTTCAGCAGCAGAGTGGTTTGAGGTGATGATTATAATGGCTCTGTGTATTAGTTGTATTAGTTAATTTCTGTACTGTATTATTTAACTTACTTGCTTAGCATTGATCTTAACCACTGAGCTTACTTCAGTGCAGTGATTTGAAAGAATCATAAAAATTTAGAGGTACACCTGGTTGGTCGTGGTACATACCTATATTCCTGGCAGTCTTGGAGGCTGAGACAGGAGAATTACAAGTTTGAACCCAGCTTGGGCAGCTTAGCAATGGTGAGACCCTGTCTCAAAATTTTACAAGTGGGAAGGGCTAGGAATGTAGCTCAGTGTGAAGGTCCTGGGTTCAATCCCTAGTACTGCCCCCGCCCCATTTTTTTTTTTTTTTTTGCAGAATTCTAAATAACGGGCACAAAATCAGGAAAGTTGAGAGGACCATGAGAAATGATATTTCTCATTATGTTGTTCAGGCTGGACTTGAACTCACTATGTAGCTCCCGCCAGCCTTAAACTCACAGTAATCCTCTTGTCCCAGCCTCCCAACTGCTGGGATTACTGGCATCTTGCACTATATCCAGCAAGAAATGATATATAAAAACACTGTTTAGCTGGGCGTGGTGTGCACGCCTGTAATCCCAGCACTTGGGAGGCTGAGGCGGGAGGATCACTGTGAGTTTGAGACCAGCCT